TCTTTTTGTCCTTTTGTATATTCTGTTTGGTGAAATGTCTATTCATTTCCTTTGCCTGGGTTTTAGGACCGAGTTGTGAGGATCTGTCACTTTCCTTTAAATCATTTTACATTTGAGGTATACTTTAGTTTCTGCTGCTTAAAAAATACCTTGAAAAGACTCTGACAAGCTGGCAGATTAGGCAGACACACTGTACAGACCCTCTGTGACAAAGATTGTTGTCGCAAAATGCCATCGAGTCAGTTCCTACTCATAGCGACCCGTATAGGGTTTTCCAGGGAATGCCTGGTGAGTTTGAACTACCAACCTTGTGGTTCAGTCTGAACTTGTGGTCCAGTGCTTTTTCCCACAGCACCACACCAGGTGGCCAAGTGAAACAGACAGACACAGAGGAGAATCCTGTAGACCTGAGCTTTAGAGGAAAGGTTAGAGAAGTGACTTGAATACCTGCAGGGAGGAGAAACAAAACAGGGGAAAGGAAAGAAGGAGACTGACTGGTGAATGGACTGTAAGGTGCTGTAGTGTCAGTTATGACTCATAGGGACCCTGTGCACAACAGAAGGAAACACTGACTGGTGAGTGGGCTGTTAGGTGCTGTAGTGTCAGTTATGACTTATAGCGACCTTATATACAACAGAAGGAAACACTGCCTGGTCCTGCACCTTCCTCACAGTCATGGCCAAGCTTGAGCCCATTGTTGCTGTCCTGTGCCAGTCCATCTTGTTCGGGGTCTTGTTGGGTGGGTATAGTAAAATCTTTGTTAAAATGTCCAGTATTTTAATATTGTGGGTGTTTTGTATATACTGTAGTACAGATACTATGTTGTTGCCTTTCCTTTGAATGAAAGATGAACTTGCAAAGACCTCATGCCTATAAATTATATTAGCTTAATGTACTTTGTCAAAAAAGCAGCTATAAGAATTTGGTCTTTCCAAGTTAAGTCTTCCCCATAGTTTTGGCACTATTTTGAGTTGTTAGATTCCCTGGTAACATTTTCCTGAGCTCTCAGTTTAGGTAAGGTCCTCTTTAGAGGAAGTGTGAGGAAGGGGGGAGAATTTAGCAAGTCTAGGTAATGGGAAACCTTTGTAAAACAAAGTACATCTTCCAGAGAAGCAATTAATCATACTATTAGACAAAGGCACATAACCACCACCACCACTAGACAAAGGGCTTTAGCTGCTGGCAAAACAGCGGGAACTTGTCAATCTTGCTTCCTTGGTTACAGGGAGTGATAGTGTACTTGACCTTCAGCAGAGTAGGGTCACAGAGAGGGCATCATTAAACAGCTCTGTCTAGTTTTGGTAAAAGGAATCTGTACTTGTAGGGTTGAAAGAAAATGCGTATGAATTCCCCAAACCAACCCAACTGCATTTGGGGTGGACTTCCCTTGGCCTGGGCTGTTGCTGAGGAAAAATATCAGTAAAGCTTCAGGAAGCTGTAGCCATGGTAAGTATGTAAGTGTCCTGAAGAAAACATAAATGCAGTGTTGAAGCCTTTCTCTTTCTCTGTGTCTAGGGGTAGCCTCCTGGTAATGCAGTGTATTTCATAGACGCTTGTGTATTTGAAGGAGTTGGAGTTAGTGTCTGATGCTATTCTTGGCACTTAGCAAATTATTTCTTCATAAGAATTTGCATTTGATTATACTGAGTAGATATTGTTGTTGTCAAGTACCGTCAAGTCGGTTCCAGCCCATAGCAACTCTGTGTAGGGTTTCCAAGGAGCAACTGGTGAGGTTGAACTGACGACCTTGAAGTTCAAACGGCTTTGCAGTCTGGCACACTAACCCATAATACCACACCAGGAGTTAGGAGTAGGTATGGTGGTTGGTGATTATGTGCCATGGAGTCGGTTCTGACTCATAGCCACCCTGTACAGGGTTTCCAAGGCTGTAAGTCTTTACGGGAGCAGAACACCTCATCTTTCTGTCACGGAACCGCTGGTAGTTTCTAACTGAACTATATAAGCACATTTATTATGTTCAGGTTTGATTACTTCATTGAGTTTAGTATTAAGAACAGCTGAACTTGGCAATAATCAGTAGAAATAACTCTTTAGGAACCTGGCACAATGGCATTATAAAACTGCAGTCTTCTGAGTAAGATGAGTTGTAAGTAGTTAAAGACTGTCAACCTCCTAGGATACTTCTCTTTATAATGCAGATTGTGCTGTTCACTGACCCTTCACCACACTAAGTTATTTGATGCCCCTTTGAAATATAAATGAAAGGAGGGTGTGGTACATTTCAGTTTGGGCTGGAGGTTTCCCCCTGCCTAAAGCGCTTTGCCCCACTTAGGCTCTCACACTATTCATTATTTCACTGGGAGTGTTAAGAGGGAATTAAAGTAAATGATTGAGATTTGTAACAAATTAGGTGTGTCTGATCTGTTTTATCACAGGGTGTCAACTTTGCTGTCCTATTAATAACTCATAGGAATGTTGCAGTCAGAACCAAGAATAAATTCTATATTGAGAAATTAAAAAAAAAAAAATTGTGTATTAGCTCAATGCTGTGGGCATCCTCTTCAACTTAGTTGTTCAACTTTCAGAAGATGATGGCACGTAAACCACAGAAATTTTCCCCAGGAATTTATTTGTTGGATTTTTGCCAGTTGAGGTGAACATGTAGCTTTTGTCCTTTATTCTGTTAATATAGTATATTACATTGATTTCAATATGTTGAACTAATCTTGTATTCCTGGGATAAATCCCACTTGTCCAGGGTACATAATCCTTTTTGGATGTTGCAAAATTTGCTTTATGGACTCCTGGTGTGGTGCCGTAGGAGCAGCACTAGACTGTGCACCACAAGGTCAGCAGTTCAAACCAGTTAGTCTCTCCCTGGAAATCCTATACAGGGTCACTGTGACTCAGAACTGACGCAAAAAAATTGGTGTTTTGTTGAGGATTTTTGTATCCGTATTCAGAAGGATTTTTTGTGTTGCTGTCTGATTATGGTATCAGAGTAATAATGGTCTCATAAAGTTGGGAAGTGGTCCCTCGTCTTTTTAGTTTATGGGTTTATTTTTGCTGTTTTGGAAGAGTTTTGAAAATATTGGTTCATGATATACTTGGAAAAATTTTTTATCTGTGGTACAAATATATAACAATATATGCACCATCTCAGCAATTTTTCCGTGTTCGGTAGTAACATTAATATAACATAATGATATATTTTCATCCAGGAAAACTAGTACCTGTCTACTTCAGGTGCCCAGGAGACCACTTATCTTTTTTTTTAATATAAATGTTTTATTGTAAATTATGTGATAGTTTACATGAGAGAACATTAGTTTTACATTCATTCTGTCGTATATCATTTCATTGCCATAGTTACAATCCCATCCATGCATCATCAACCAACCAAAGGGTATACCCGGGAAGCCTGCCCCCACCTCCTCCCCTCCCCACCCCACCCCCCAGTCGTCAGCACACAGCCTCTCTCCCTCTCTGGATCTCAAGTCCCCAGCTGCTCCATCTCTCCACGTTATCGTCTCTGCCTCCATCTCAGGCATCATCAATGCTTCTCTGGGTAGGGTCCTGCTCTCTGCTCTTCTCCATTGATGGTCCCAGCGGAAGCGCCCCTAGACTAAAAAGTTAATCACTCCCCTCCTTGCTATAAAATTTCCACCTTTATATTTCTAACCCTCACAATCAGTCCTGATAACAATTATTCACTATTGCATCACAAGAGACCCATCTGCATTTCATTTCATCAGCCCTGCCTGTACAGATTGGATGCTACTCACTGGAGACTCTACCTTCCTCCACGTCCTCTGGATCTAGGCTCCCTCCTGAAAGCTTGTAAGCCAGTCACTTCTTGCCTTTTGTGGCGTGCCCCCCCTCTGCATTTGGGTAGCCAGTGTCCAAGTTGCCCATCCCTGTCTACTCTATGTATGGAGGGGGTGGGAATGATCCTTGCTGTAAGGATTTGTTCCTTCTTTAGAGCTACTGCATCCATAGGTGTAGGTCAAGTTCATCAAATTGTATCAGATTACTCTTTTTTTTCCTCTTCTTCTAGTTGAGCTCTGATCAGCCATTGAGGCCAGATCAAGAGAGCACTATCTGCAAGTATGGGTGTTCTTGTGCATCTCCCCTCACTTCATATCAGCTGGACACTTCACTCTCCACTCTAGTCCTCTATGGCTGTGTCACTGACTCTGGGCCCAAGGGTCCCCAGGTCTTGCCACACTGCAGCCAACCAGGTCTCCACCTGGGTTCATAGGAGTCTTCGAAGTCTATGAAGCTTGCTGCTTCATTGCTGTTTTTCCCTCACTTCCCTTATGGGTGACAAGCGTGAAACCACTTATCTTGAGTTCGGGTAGTGAGTGATGGCCTTCTCCCGTACTCATCCCATTGATACTGAGAAGTTGTCAGACCCCTTTGGCAAATACGGATTCCAGCAGTTTTCAATGCATTTCTGGTTCCATTTGCCATGCATCCCCTCCAGTGTTGTGAGCGAGAAGCAGTGGTAGCTCTGTAGGGTAAGCACAGAGCTGCTGCCCACAGGTCATGGTTGATGATTCAAAGCCACAAGAAAAACATGAGGCTTCCTGCTCCTCTCAAGACTTAGAAACCCTATGTAGGGTTGCTAGGACTCAAAATTGACTCGATGGCAGTGAGTAGTGTTGTGAGTCTTATTGTGGAAATTCTAATCTTAAAGTAGTCTTTCATTTTATAACCGACTTTTAAGAGAAGTTCAAAGATCATCTCTAAAAAGTTATTTGTTTTTAACTACATTAATAAAGTAAGTTTTTCTGGAGCAGAACTGAATATTCCTGTACTGTTGTCAACATAAGAAATGTCTATTTTAGGATAGTATTTTCTGGGCCATCTGGTGACAGTATCTCTGAATTCCTGTTGTCTCAGATCCATACTCCAGAACTGCAAGTGTTTATCATTCAGAGGCCACAGCTGTAGAAGCAGAATGCGTGGTCCTCAGGCCTGTGGCCACTACTATTTTTCTGAGCTCTCTCATGATCCAGCCTGCTTCTCACTTACAGGTACCACGTGTGCAGACTTCTCGGCCGGAATCTCCAGGGATGACCAGCCCCTCCCCGCGCATCCAGATAATCTCCACCGACTCTGCAGTAGCCTCTCCTCAGCGCATTCAGGTACCTGCACTGCTCCCACTTGGCTCTGCCCACCTGCCTACATGTGACTCCGCTTTCCCAAGTCCTTTCCCAAACCCAACCTCCAAAGGATTCAACTAAGGATTTGTGTCTGTTGGGCAAACAGTAAAGAACATTGTCTTTTTTTTTTAAGTGTTTACATTCCACTTAACTGAGTTTTAAAGCAAAAGTTCAAACTATAAGTTTATATTACCGCTATCTGTCTAAGGTTGGTTTCCCTAGAGAAGCAAAATCAGTGAAATGTACTCATTCAGTTGTAGAGGCAGGCAGGTTCCAAATCTGTGGGTCAGATGTCAGGCTGAAGACATCTCCTCCTGACTCAAGTAGCTACAGAACCTGATGAATCCAACATAGGCAGATCAGACAGCAGACTTCTGACTGCAGAGGCAAAGGAGTCCAAGATCAGCAGGTAAGATGGCAGGTAACTGACGCCTTCTAGGATTTACAGGCAATACAGCAGGCCACTGGTTTAAGTCCAAAGAAGTGGTGGTCACATGAGTAGCCAGATACAGATGCAGATCCAGCAAAAAGGCAGCAAGCTTTGCCCCAACACCCAATATAATGACTACAGGCCACCGCCCCAGGAAATTTCCTTTCATTTGGTTTACTGCTCATAGCACATCTCATCCTGGAAGTGATTGCCACCTTGGGCATTACCACCTCATAACTGCCAAACCAAGGAGCTCTGGTAGCATAGTGGTTACAAATCAGGTTGCAAGCCTCAAGGTCAGCAGTTCAAAACTATCAGCTGTTCCGTGGGAGAAAGATGTAGCTTTCTGCTCCCGTAAAGATATACAGCCTTGGAAATCCTATATAGGCTCACTGTGAGTCGGAACCAACTCCACAGCGCATATCCACCACCAACTGCCAAACCACTATGAATCTAGGCCCAACCAAGTTGACAAAAAGCCTTAACTATCCCACTTTCCTAGTAGTTAAGAGCAAATGCCCCCACATAAAGTCAAATGTAGTCATTCCTTCCTCTCAATCCCCAGTAGCTTTTTAAATTATGGGCAATCACTTGACTTTCCAGTGCCTCACTTTATATGACAAATGGAGGTAGTAGCAGTACTTACTTCATAAGGGCATTAATGAGGAATCGGTGGGATATATCCCATAGTGCCTGGCACATGGTAATGTTTACTTTGTGCTCTGTGGGTTGCTGTATGTTAAGTTCTGTTGAGTAGATCCCAGTGATCAATAGTTAATAACTTTTAGCTACTTATTGTTGTTTTGTTATGTGCCGTGGAGTCGGTTTCAACTCATAGTGACCCCTGTACAGGGTTTCTGAGGCTGTAAATCTTTACGGGAGCAGAACGCCTCATCTTTCTTCCGCAGAACAGCTGGTAGTTTCAAACTGCTGACTCTGACATTCGCAGCCTGATTTGTAACCACTACACTACCAGAGCTCCGCTTTTAATTAATATTCACCTATGGGAAGTTTAATCTTCCCTGGGGCTCTGAGACTACCCTGATAACTCCTATTTCAAGCTTATCTTTTTCAGGTCCTCATTGAACATATATTAAGTAAATGTTTAAATTTTAGTTTAAAACTTAGATTTACACCAACAGGAAAAAAATACAAAACAATAACGGCAGTCCGACTATTACAATAACAAGCAAATTGCTTGCCCAGGAGACATCAAGGCAAGTGGTCAGGTCCCCTCAGGGCAAAACCCCTTCCAAGACTCAATGGGAATACATGAGCAGATACATGCTCTGACTGGTGTTGGTCACCAATTAGGGGCAGTGAGGGAAAAAAAGCAATGAAGCTGTGAGCTAAGTCCAACCACATTCAATAGACACCTGTGAACCCAGGTGGAGATCTGGTTGACCAGCAGTTTGGCAAGACCTGGGGACTCCTGGGCCCAGAGTCAGTGACACTGCCACAGAGGACAAGAGTGGAGAATGAAGCATCCAGCTGATAAGAGAGGCTTATGCACAAGAACACCCACACTTACAGATAATACCCACTTGACCTGGCTTCAATGGCTAGATGATCAGAGCTCAACTAGAAGAAAAAAGAAGAGGAAAAAAAAGAGTTATCTGATACAATTTGATGAACCTGATCTACGCCTATGGATGCAATAGCTCAAAAGAGGAAATAAATCTTTACAGCGAACCAGCCTGGAGTGGCCAGAAGAACAGAAGATACGTCCTGAAAGAAAGATTGACAGGAAAAACACAAAACTGTATAGGCACGCCAACTGATTACTGCAAGAACAAACAAGTGGCTTGCCCAGGAGACATCAAGGAAAGTGGTTGTGCCCCCCTCAAAGCAAACCCCCTTCTAAGACTAAGGCTCAATGGGAATACACGCTCTGATTGGTGACCACTTTTGTCACCGACAATGGGAAGTGAGGGAAAAACAGCAATGAAGCTACAAACTAAGCCCTACAATGCACAATAGACTCCTGTGAACCCAGATGGAGAACCGGAGCACTGTGCCAAGTCCAGGGGACTCTTGGACCCAGAGTCAGCGACACGGCCACAGAGTACTAGAGCGAGGAGTGAAGCATCCAGCTGATAAGAAGAGAGGGCACATGCATAAGTACACCCACACTTGCAGATAATACCCACTTGACCTGGCTACAATGGCTGGATGATCAGAGCTCAAACAGAAGAAGAAAGAAGAGGGGGAAAAAGAAGAATCTGACACAATTTGATGAACTTGACACATACCTATGGAAGCAATAGCTCAAAAGAGTGAAAGATCTTCATAGTGAGGATCATTCCCACCTCCACCGCACACAGGACAGGGATGGGCAACTTGGACTTTGGCTACCCAGAATGAGAGGGCTACAGAGGCAAGAAGTGACTGGCTTACAAGCTTTCAAGGGGGAACCTAGATTCAGAGGGCCTGGAGCAAGGTGAAATCTCCATTGAGTGGTATCCATTCTGCCTAGTCAGCGTTGATAAAAGGAGATACAGATAGGTCCCTTGCAATACAATAGCAAACAGTTGTTATCAGGACTAATTGTAAGGGCTGGATATGTAGATGTCTTGCTGCAAAGGGAGGGGAGTGATTAACTTTACAGTCTAGGAACGGAGGTCCCTGGACCATTGAAGGAGAAGAGCAGAAAACGGAACCCTACCCAGAGAAGCAGTGATGCCAGGGATGGAGGCAGAGACGATGACATGGGGAGATGGAGCGGCTAGAGACTTTGGACCTGGAGAGGGAGAGGAGCAGTGTGCAGACGACAGGGAGTCAGGCTTGTGGGGTGTGTACCCTTTGGTTGGTTGATAATGCATGGAGGGGATTGTGACCATGGCAAGGATCGATGTGCAATGGGATTAATGTTAAGCTGATGTCCTCCCATGTGAACTATCACATAATTCACAATAAAGCATTAAAAAAAGAATCTTTATAGCTAGGATCATTCCCACCCCCTCAAAACACAGGGTAGATAGGGATGAGCAACTTGGACATTGGCTATGCAAAATGGGGGGTTATAAAGGCAAGATGTGACTGGCTTCCAAGAGGGAACCTAGGTCCAGAGGGCATGGAGGAAGGTAGAATCTCCACTGAGTAGTATCCAGTCTGTCTAGGCCGGGTTATTGAAATGAAATGCAGATAGGTCTCTTGTGATACAATAGTGAATAATTGTTATCAGGACTGATTGTGAGGGTTGGAAATGTAAAGGTAGACGTTTTGTAGCAAAAGGAGGGGAGTAGTTAATTTAGTAGTCCAGGAACGGAGGTCACTGGGACCATCAAGGGAGAGAGAAGAGCGGAGTGCAGGACCCTACCCAGAGAAACAGTGACGTCAGAGATGGAGGCAGAGACCATGACATGGAGAGATGGAGCAGCTGGGAACTCTAGACCCAGAGAGGGAGAGGGGGCTGTGTGTTGACAACCAGGGGGCAGGCTTGCAGGGTGTACCATTTGGTTGGTTGATGATGCATGGAGGGGAATGTAACCATAGCAGTAAAATTTTACTTGGCATCTGGTATTAATGATATTGTTACATGATTTCTACCTCCCGTTGGGTCTCCTATGTTTGGAATGGGACCAAATATGGATCTCTTCCAAGCAGTTGGCCAGTTAGCTGTCTTCCAAATTTCTTGGCATAGATGAGTGTGTGCCTCCAATGCTACACCAGTTTGTTGAAAGATTTCAATTTATATTCCATCAGTTTCCAGAGCCTTGTTCTTTGCCAGTGCCTTCAGTGCACCTTGGAATTGTTCCTGCAATACCATTGGCTCATGAACATATGCTATCTTGTGATAGAGTTGAACGTCATCTATTTCTTTTTGGTACTGCAGCTTTGGCATTCCTTCTTCTTTTGATGGTTTCTGCATCATTCGATATTTTGCCCATAGAATCCTTCAGCATTGCTAGTTGAGGCTTGAATTATTTCTTCAGTTCTTTCAGCTTAGGAAATACTGAGTGTGTTCTTCCCTTTTGGTTTTTAACTAAGTCTTTACACATTTCATTATAATACTTGATTTTGTCTTCTCAAGCTGCCCTTTGTTCAGCTCTTTTACTTCCTCATTTCTTCTATTTGCTTTAGCATCTGTACACTGGAGAGCAAGTTTCATAGTTTCCTTTGACATCCATTTTGATGTTTTCCTTGTCTACTTATTGACCTATTGCTTTCTTCCTTTATGATGTTTGTTATGTCATTCCACAACTCTTCTGGTTTTTTGTCATTAATATCTAATGCATCACATCTGTTCTTGAGATGGTCTCTGAATTCAGGTGAAATGTTCAAGATGAATTTTTGCATCTCATGGACTTTTTTTTTTCTTCAAGTTTTTATTGTGCATTATGTGACAGTTTACATGGGAGAACATTAGCTTTGCATTCATCCTATCTTATATCATTTCATTGTCATGATTACAATCCCCTCCATGCATCATCTATCAACCAAATGATACACCCCCCCAAGCTTGCCCCCCGATAGTCAGCACACAGCCTCTCTCCCTTTCTGGGTCTCAGTCTCCAGCCGCTCCATCTCTCCACATCATCATCTTTGCCTC